CCAGGTCATGCTCTGACTAAACAAAATAGTCAAGAAAGTATTTTAAATAACTTTGCACTGGTAATTATTTGCACTTTTAAAACACATATATTTTTCTATTTCTATAATAAATTATTGACAAACGTGAAACAAATTTACGAAGCTGAGGTTGAGCTTCATTAACAAATACGTTCGGTAAATCCAATTATTTAATACAAATAATTGAGTAATTTGCAGGGGCAAATTATATACAAAGTGAATGCATTTTTCGTTTTCGTTTTCGCCAGTTACTTGCAACTACTTTGTTGGAATTTACCCATAATCACAATATTGATTATTTATCGTTTTTTATTATTCTATAAACAAAGTGAGTGCATCTTTCGTTTCGCTAATTTCTCGCGTTTACTTTGTTGGAATTTACTTACAACCGTCGCTCAACAGTATTCAAATACTCTTATCGTTCTTTGCGCTGCATTGCCTTCTCTCTTAAAAAATTTAGTAAATTGTGTTCACTATGTCAACTAAAAAGCGAGCATCATCCCCACAAAAAAATGAAGAATTGGATAAACTAATCCAGCAGCGAGAAACTGTAGTGGCCAGTATCTTGCGAATTAAAAAAGTAATTTCTGAAAAAACTGTTGATTTAAACCCTGTAGAACTGGAATGTAGGTTGGACATTCTCAATTCATACATTAAACAGGCCATGACTTGCCAACAAAAAATAGAGTGTATCAACGAGTTTGATGTATTTCGGCCAGATCTAGAAGAAATCTGCGTTGCTTCGAAATCATTGTTTCTACAGGCGTTAGATAAAAACCGCAAGTCTAGTATCCCTGATACTTCGCATGAATGCAGCAATCATCGTTCCAGGCTGCCAAGTATGCGTTTACCTAAATTTAGTGGGAAACATTCTGAGTACAAAAACTTCATAAGCCTTTTTGAAAGCTTAGTGCACAATGATCAGTCGCTAAGTGATATTGAAAAATTCAATCATCTCATTTCGTGTTTGTCTGACGAAGCTCTTGGTACAGTTAAGGCATTTCAACTCACTGAAACTAATTACTCAAAGGCATTAGCTAGTTTAAAAAGAGTTTACGATAACACTTGTCTAATCTTTTTCGATAGTATCTCGCAGCTTTTTGAACTGCCAGAAATGAACAAGCCATCTGCTTCTGCATTACGCAATATCATAGATACTGTTTCTGCCATATATGAGTCCCTATTGTCAATAGGAGATGATAAGAACATTTCAAATGCGATTCTTATTCATTTAGTCATGTCAAGAGTCGATGCCGCCACGAAATCTAAATGGGAGGAGCAATTAGATTACAATAAGCTGCCGCTCTGGTCTGATTGCGAGACTGCGTTAAATAAGCGATACCAACACATTTCTGCTGACGAAGCGTCTACGTCAAGGTCTCGATCGAACAGGCCAAAACAAGACAACTGGCAAGGTAAGAATGTAAAATCGTCACTTATGTGCAAGAAAAATAGTTCGCAAGAGGAAAGTAGATGTTTGTTCTGTAATGCGAAGGAACATGTAATAAATTCATGCTCCGCCTTTGCTGCCCTCTCAGTTACTGAACGGTTCAATTTCATTAAATCATCTTCGGCATGTATAAATTGTCTCAAGAAAGGGCACACGGTATCTAGATGCAAGGCGTCACGCTGCAGAGTGTGTAATCGGTCGCACCATACTCTTTTACACCAATATTCTACTAACACTCCTCAAACAGGTTTATCTTATAATCCAGAACAACCTATTATTTCTCGTGCCTCTGTGAATCATAGCTCATCGAATGACGATCAAATTATTCTAGCCACTGCAGTCATAACCATTCAAGGAAAATCTGGAGAGTATCAGCTGGCCAGAGCACTGCTCGATTCCGGTTCTCAAGTCAACCTTATAACCGAGGAACTTGCACAACGACTGCAACTAAAAAAAGAAGCGAAAACTCTAAACCTGATTGGCATTGGTGAAACAAACTCCACAGTACGGCAAAAATTACATGCCACTGTGAGATCACGTATTAACTCTTATGAGTTTTCTACTGATTTTTGGGTAATGCCTTCAATCTCCACTTACCAACCCGACAAATTTGTGTCAATGAGTAATTGGAATGTTCCTTCTAATCTTTCACTTGCTGATCCGCACTTTCACAAACCGCAAAAGATAGATCTTCTACTTGGTGCCGAAAGCTTTTTCGAACTGTTGTCGATTGGACAAATAAAACAAGGTACTAATCTTCCAATTCTCCAAAAAACTTTACTTGGATGGATTGTATCAGGAAAATATAAAGATGTCCCAAGTAATGTATCTAAGATATGCAATTTAATACGCCTTCAAGAAGCAGAGTCAACAGGTGATTTCTGCTTAAACTCTCTTGTGAAAAAATTCTGGGAATTGGAAGAAATTCCCAAGGAGCTCACGGTCAAAAAATACACAATAGAACAACAACACTGTGAGACCAAGTTTCTCAACACAATTTTACGCTTACCTTCAGGGAGGCTTAAGGTGCAGCTTCCTTTCAAGTCCAACCCCAACCTTCTAGGTCAGTCATATGAAACAGCAAAAAATCGTTTTCTCTCACTGGAACGCAGGTTGTCGAAAGACTGTATGCTTCAGAAGCTGTATATGGAGTTTATGGCAGAGTATCGTGACTTAGGTCACATGACATTAACTACTGACAACTTTTCTTCGACACCTCATTACTATATACCGCATCAGTGTGTGTTGCGACCTCAGAGTACCTCGACAAAACTTCGCGTCGTGTTCGATGCTTCATGCCGAACATCTTCACAAGTGTCGTTGAACGACATTTTAATGGTTGGTCCAACGGTACAAGAAGAATTGTATTCAATCCTACTTCGCTTTCGTATGCACAAATACGCGATGACTGCTGACATTACAAAAATGTACCGTCAAATCGAAATTGACGAGGCAGATCGCAATTTTCAGCTTATTCTCTGGAGGGAAAAACCTACGGATCAGATTAGCGTTTATAAACTGAACACAGTGACATATGGTACTTCACCTGCTCCTTTCTTGGCAACACGTTGCCTAAACTACTTAAGTGACCTGTACAAGAATTCTCATTCAGTTGGAGCAAGGGTTATCCGACATGACTTCTATGTCGATGACCTATTGACTGGAGCTGACAGTCTGAAGGAACTGGAAACAATTCGTACCCAATGTACTGAAATTCTTGATGCGGCTGGACTTAAATTAGCGAAATGGTTTTCAAACCATAAAACGTATGATTCGTCAGACTTCTTTCTAAATGTTAATAATACTGATTCCACAAAGGCGCTAGGTATACACTGGATTCCCCAGAATGATACGCTTAAGTTCCATGTAGACGAAAAGTTTCATGACTTGCGAGCAACAAAAAGAAACATACTATCAGTATCAGCTCGACTCTTCGATCCCCTCGGACTAGTATGCCCAATAGTGACTAAGGCAAAAATTTTATTGCAAGAACTTTGGCTTCAGAAGCTTGACTGGGATGAGTCAATTCCTATGCATCTCGATTCTAGCTGGCAAGCATTTAAAAGCAACCTGACTCAGATGGACTCTATTTCCATTCCGCGGTATGTTCATATTCATTCAAATATAAAATGCGATATTCACGGTTTCGCCGATGCGTCAATGAGAGCGTACGGCTGTTGCATCTACGTCCGAATTCATGATTCGAATGGGATTCATTCTGAATTGTTAACTGCCAAATCTAAGGTTGCTCCTTTAAGCACAAAATCATTACCCAGATTAGAGCTGTGTGCCGCTCATTTATTGGCTAAACTATGGTCTCGAATTCAGCCGTTGATTACTTGCGAAATCGGAGATGTTTATTTTTGGACGGACTCTGAAATTACACTTCATTGGATTAAAACTCACCCATCTACTTTAGCGACATTTGTAGCAAACAGAGTTGCAGAGATCCAAGAATGGACGAGCGAAGTTCTTTGGAGACACGTTCCATCAAAGCTAAATCCTGCAGACTTAGTCTCCAGAGGATGTAATGTAGATGAGTTGATTCACTCAATTTGGTTTCGTGGCCCATCATATTTGCTTCAAGATGCAATTAACTGGCCAAAAAATAATCATTTTCCACTATCAATAGATGAAAAAAGTTTGGAGAAACGAAAGGTCAAGGTCGGACTTTTAGCAGTTGAAATTGAAACTAATGTCATTTCAAAACTAATCTGTAGCCAATCATCTTACCCAAGACTGCTGAGAATTTTCGCGTACATTCTACGTTTTATCACTAAGAAAAATGAGAGAGCCAACGCTCTTATTCCGACATCAAAGGAGCTTAATTGGGCATTCTTGAAAATCGTTGAATTTATTCAAAATCACGAATTCAAGGAAGAAATCGAAAAAATGAAGAAGTCGCATAAATTACCAGTCAGCATTCAAAAACTAACTCCATTCATTCATACAGTCCAAGATGGTTCTCGAACATGCAATTTGCTTCGTGTAGGAGGTCGTCTACTAAACGCACCACTGTCTTATGATTCAAAATTTCCCTTGCTGTTACCTATAAAATTGCATTTTGTCGAGATTTATTTACGATTTCTCCATACAACCAATTGTCATGCTGGTCCAAAAGCCTTAGAAGTGCTGCTTCGTGAAAAAATTTGGGTCATAAATTCAAGCAAGGCATGCAGTAAAACCGTAAGAGCATGCATACATTGTTTTCGATACAAACCTAAGCTGTTGACCCAAGTAATGGGAAACTTACCTGCAGATCGGTTAAAGGCACTACGACCCTTTTTAATTAGCGGTGTCGATTTTTGTGGGCCTGTATACACCACTTTGAAAATTCGTGGTCGACCACCAGTTAAAATGTATATCGCAGTGTTTGTTTGTTTCACGTCAAAGGCTATACATTTAGAACTTGTAACAGATCTGACAACTAACTGTTTTATTTTTTGTCTTAAAAGGTTTGCCGGAAGACGAGGACTCCCAGAAAAAATCTATTGCGACAATGCGACAAATTTTGTAGGTGCCGATCGCAAGCTGAGAGAGCTGATAGAGGCGTTTCGAGAGCACAAGGACGATCTGGCATACTATGCTGCACAAAAGGGCATAGAGTTTGTCTTCATACCACCCAGGGCACCTCATTTCGGAGGATTATGGGAAGCGGCGGTAAAGTCGGCAAAACACCACATACAACGAACAACCAACAGTGCGCTTCTTACCAGCGAAGAACTGCAAACAGTGCTCGTAGAGGTAGAAGCCCTGCTAAATTCTCGGCCACTCAGTCCATTGAGTCAAGACCCGAACGACAAAGAGGCGCTAACACCAGCACACCTGTTGATAGGAGGTACTCTCCACACGCTGCCGCAAGAATCCGCACAAGGCGTCTCCGACAACAAATTGACCACTTTGAAACGTTGGCGTCTGTTATGCGAGCTCAAACGGAGGTTTTGGCAGGCCTGGTCGAAAGATTACATCCTACAGCTGCAGCCCAAGAACAAGTGGGTGTTCGAGCAGCCGAATCTCGCAGTCGGCCGACTAGTCGTCGTCCAAGAAGACAACCTTCCCTCTCACCGGTGGAAGCTCGGAAGGGTGGAAGCCGTAATTACAGGTCGCGACAATAAGGTCAGGGTCGTTGACGTCAATACCAGCAACGGAATTCTGAGGCGTCCAGTTCACAAATTAGCGATGCTGCCAGAAAATTGAACACATGATCGTGCTTCAACGCGGCCGGTGTTGAATGTTTATATTTTATATTGCATTTTTTGTTTAAAGTAGTTAAAATAAAACGCGTGCTGCTCATTTTTATTGTCAATATGCAACCCAATGTTGACTTTCGTCAACCTTGCACATTACATACGGTAATCTTAAAAAAACAACAACTTTAATTTTATACAGTTCTTTAGCTTCCAGACTGAACTGGGTTTTTTGATTCTCTCTCTTGCATTTCAAGTCCCAAGTGAACAGCACGCGTTTTATTTTCAATTTTCGATTTATTAAAATTTTAATTTCTTAAATAAAGTGTAATTATTCTGAATAAAATACTTTCGTTGTAACTTTCATTTTTTTTATAACTTCAATAAATACAAAAACTCTTGTATTTTTTTCAATATTTAATATATAAATTAATAACACAAATCTTGCGTTATGCATTGAGATTATAAAATATTTGTATCCAGGTTTTCGAATATACAATAAAATTCACTGCAGAGAGCATTTTAGGCCAAATAAAAATATTTAGACGATGTAAAATAAATAAAATAGAACTAGATCTAAAAAAATTAATCAACTTGAGTTCTAAGCCTGGCACTTGCAATCCAACAAGTTTTATACGGACTATAAATTAATTAAATACATAAAAATTCGAATATTTCCTAAAATCACTAATCAATAATCACTAGTACTTGGCAACACTCGAAAGAGCATTGTATGGTTAGCTAAATTTCAATAAATTAATTAAATGTGTGTTGTTCTTTGTTTATTACTGTTAACCCCTTAAATTAATCAATAATTAACAAAATAAAACACCTTGGTACAGGAAAGTAAAAATTAGATTCCGCGATGTGTTCCAATAAGTACCCGTAAAAAAAAATGAAAAAATTATACAAGAAATAAACAATAAAGTCGTATTAACTAAAGAGAACCCAATTGATATTTGTCATAGTTTTTTGCTATTAAATTTTAAATCCTTAGTGAGAGTTATATTACATACGCGAACAATAGCATCAGGACTTCGTACTCCACCCTCTAAATTTCAATTTGGCAGTATTCAATTGTTTTTGTTTTGAATGTTTTTGTAATATTCAAAACCAATATCGCATACCTGAGAAACCTGCCTGTTTCAAATTGAAATATTGTGAAATATATTTTCATTCGTGGTAAATTGTTGTTTTGAGTAACTATAACTACCTCGAAGCTATCGCAAAGCAAACACAATCGAACGAGTTGAGAGGGTCTGGGCTTCAGGTGGGGTTTGGCTTAATCGAACGCATTTGTGCTAAATGAAAGCATGACTCCGCCTTGAACGTTTGCCAAATGTAAACAGTTTTCATTTAATTACGTCTAAATTTGGTTAAAAAGTAAACACTGTAAAGGAACCTTAAAATAATAAAGCAGCCGGTACGGGAAAGGATGGATAGCAGGCTGGCAAGTAATCAATGAATGCTGACAAATTGGTAGCACGCTTCCTAGTGGCGCACAAGTCACGAACTAAACCGGACGCCGGCGAATGCAGGAATAATGAACCGCACTGCTGACATGCTTGACTATTCGCACAGCCTAAAAAGGGAAGCAAAGGGGAAATAATTCTTGGTTCCTTAGAATATAACTCAATTTGTAATACGTACACGATGGCTTGCCTATGCATAAGTATCTTTTTGTTCCTTGCAGGTCGATTTGATTGCATGCAATTCATTCAATTGTCAAAAGTATTGCCTAACAAACCAACTTAACTGACAGTGGCACAGACATGTGCACCGAGCGAAATTAAAATCAATAATGGCAAATTTGTGGCTTGTTTGAAGTAAAGAAATATTCATAAAACACCCCTGGTACCACCGACATTCACGTATAAGCGCTCCCTGCAAATTATAACCTTCCTGCTTGAGATTCACATATGTGTTAGTTGTAGCAGGAAGTTTCGTGTAGTCGTCCTTCGGGAATAAGTCTCAAGGGTTGTTATCACAAACATGTTTATTAATGGATGAACTCCAATAAATATTTTTCGAAACTAAAACAAGTACAAAAAGCGATATAACACAATACCTTACATAAAATACATAATATTATGGTATAATGTTTTTTTAATGATTTTTAAATGTGTACAATGTTTTGCAGCTATTTTCCTGCTCGGAAATATTCATTAATAAAATTTGATAAAATGAAATTGTTAAAAACTTATTCAAATTCTAAATAAATAAATTGAATTGTTGTTGAACTATGAAGTTACTTACAGTTAGCACCTTTACATCTTCCTTTAGGTGCATCTTAATTGGCACTCGAAAAACCTGGCTATGTTCGGTTTTTTATATTTATACAGTTTATATAACAGTGTAGATATCGGATAGTCTTTCCCTCGTCCCGTGAGTTATTATAAGCGTGGCTAAAGAATTGTTGAAGTGCCCATCTATTTGCTTGATTTACTAAGATGTTCTAAACTTCATATAGTTGGTGATGGAGTCAACAAAACGATCTCACAACCATGCATGAGAGATAGCCTGATGATAAGGATAATAAATAAGCCACTCTAACAAGGGTTATTGGCACGATTTTCTTTAAAACTAACCACAAACTTGTCGTGGGTGAAAATACTATTATTCCAGTTTCTCAGTATTTACAGTTCTTAGCGAGTGAAATATTCGGAAGATTCCAAATGCAGCAGTTTGTGATATCATCACAAACTTGTGATATTTTATATAAAAGTTATGCTGATATTTTATTTAAATTATCAAATTTTTTTCTCTACAGTAAATCACATAATCTAACCCAGGATGTCTACGCGACTGTAGTCCAAGTATCATGGGACTTGCAAAGAGCTCTGCAATAATTTCTCAGGAACTTATGAAGTTTTTTCTAACTTTTGATAAATGTTTAAGTGTCATATAACTTAACGATATAGATTCTACAAGTCTACTTCTTTAAACACTCCTAATGTTTGTATTGAAATACATAAAGATAGAATAGTAAATTTAGTTGTCCTATCACAACATTGGGTGAAGTTTTAAAAGAAAATTAATTCACCAAATCCATGGCATGGTTAGAATAAATGTGAAAAGTTTCAGTCGATGTGTTACTGTAAAATAATATAATCCTAGATTAGTTGAAATAAGAATGAAACCGGAAGAAAAACCGAAGAGTATCTTTTATATTTTATGTCGTAATAGTGGCCAAAGATCACACTGTGCGTAGTATCAAAAACAAAGAAGATTTCATTAAAGTCAGTTAAAGTTTTTTAAAATTTCCAGTCAATTATAATGAATTGTTATAATAGTAGCGCTCTGAATTTTATGTATATATGTTCTTTATAAGGAATGACCTTTTACAAGACCGACTCAGTGCTGAAGTAAATTGCTCTATTTTAATTTTCGGACAAATCACAAATTAAAGTTATGAAGTACTTTACATGTCGTTTTTATATTTACCATAATTTTTTTAAATCCTAAATATGAACAATTTTTAATCCAATAAAATGGAGCAGATCCACAATCTTGCCTTTAAAGTTTTGTTTGCTTAAATGTTGCAAATGAATTAGTGATTCATTCGTCTTACATTTCGTTCAAAGTATACTTAAGCACACACAAAAATAAAACTGATCAGATGAAAAAATAAAAGACGACTTGATTATCTTCCGAAACTAAAAGCACCTGAGCTTGAGGAGAAGTTGAAAGAACCAAAAACACAAATTTTGCAATTCCAAGAAATTTTTTTGCTTACGATGGCGACTTCTGCAATGCATTGTTTAAATCAAATAATGACAACTTTCAATGGATTGGCACAAATCCGTTAATATCACTTTATGATAATTGCAACTAAGAACTGACAGATGCGATAATAAATACAAGTTTGAGAAAAAATTATTAGTGATTTTTTTTAATTGTAAAGTCCTATAATGTCAACATATGAATATGTTTTTAAAAAATTTTTAATTGATATCTTTCAATCTAATCAATAGAATAGAAAAGTTAATTTAAATTTGTCATTTTGTAAATGCATTAAAAACTACTTTATATATATATCACTTAATTGTACTTGTACTCATCGGTTTTCATATTATTCTTGAGATTAGTTTGTCACAATTTTTATATAATTTTTTTGAAATTCTAGTTTCACTTTAATGCTGATCATTTAGCACAAATAAAATAATCTTTGAAACAATCATTTTCAATACCACAATATAGGTATATGAAATTCCTTTTAAATATTTATTTAACTTCTATACTAAAACTCAAACAGCACAAGAACTTTAACTCTTAACAATTAAATTAAATTCTGATAAAGAGGTTTTCGAAAAGTAGTAAACTACAACAACAAAAATTCTTTGATATATTATTTTAATTAATTGAATTTTTGACTGACCACACAGCTGTTTCGAGTATTGCCAATTACCCATCATCAGTGATCTTGGAAATAAATCTTATATTTAATTAATCGTAAATAATTTTTTGACACTGAAACCCAACTCGTGCTCTGCCTGATGGAATACCCACAGAAACTCACTTTACCACTTTACCGCAACAATTATAATAACATTATTAAAATTCAAAGTTTCGATCAATTATAAAATAAATAACTGCAAACGACTAATATGATATGGATTATCAATATGCTTTGTTCAATATTAGGATTAATGAGAATTATTAATCACAGGATCTTAAACCATTTAAAACACTAAAGCCACTAAACTAAAAAACAGGTTAAAAATTTTAAAACCCTTCAGGTTAATAGACTAACACATGCTTAAACCAAAGAATATATACTTAGCCCACAATCCTAACGAGTCTTCCAAATGTAATAACTTTTATAGTACGAGGGCTGCTACATATATATTTCTGGTCTAGGCAACACTAAGTGTTGCCAGCTGCAATCTGAAATTTCCATTGGAAATGTTGACATTTTTTAGCATAACATCACTCAGAACGTGTTGTCATTTAATTGTGAATTGTTTTATTTACAGAGACTTGAAAAATTCATCTCGGCTAAAAAATGGAATTAACACGTGAACATTTTCCGATCATTTTTCACAGATTTCGACGTGGATTATCACGACAAGATTGCATTGATGAACTCAAGTCTTTGTAAGGCGATGAAGCACTATCCTATAGCACTGTGAAAAACTGATTTAAAGAATTCAATCGTGGCCGACGCTCGCTCAACCCGAATTCCGTGAAGGTCGTCCAAAAACGGACGGTGTGCCAGAGAACATTGATGCCGTACGTGAACTGATAATGCAATATCTTCATGTGACATACCGTGAGATAGAGGCATCCTAGGGCATTTCTCCCACCAGCATACATTCAATATTGCATTAACCCCTTGGCCGTAAAAGAGGTTCATTCTCCTTGGATCCCGCACAATTTGACATTCGCGTAAAGAAAGGCTCGTGTTGATTGATGCAAAGAAATGTTGAAAGAATACGTTGGCGGTGCTTCAAAAGACGTTTATAAAATCGTCACAAGACGAATTATGGATCTATGCGTATGAGCCCGAAACAAAACAACAATCGACCGTGTGGGTCTTCGAAGACGAGCCAAATCCAATGAATGTTGTTCGTGGAAGAAGCACTACAAAGGAAATGGTAGCCTGTTTCTTCGGCAAAACTGGTCATGTGGCGACTGTTCCGCTTGAGCAACGAAGGACGGTCACTTGAGTGGCACACCACAATTTGTTTGCCTGAAGGCCAAAACGTCGAATTGATAGGTCATCCGCCGTACAGCCCTGACTTGGCACCCAATGACTTCTTTTTATTCTCGTTGACCCGCACATCAAGAAAAAAATGCGTGGTCAACGATTTTCGTCGCCAGAAGATGCTAAAGCGTTCAAAAACCATGTATTGGAGGTGTCTCAGTCAGAGTAAAAAGGTGCTTCGACAATGGGTTTGAGCGCATGCAAAAGTGTATAAATCAGGCTGGAGAATACTTCGAAAAACAATAAAACAATTTTTGATGATAAATATTCGCATTTTCATTATTAGGCTAGAAATATATATGGCAGCCCTTGTATAAACATATAATATTCATCACTGGATTAAAATCTGTGTTGATACGATTTTATAAAATCTTGAAATAACACCTATTGCAGTTCTTCAATATAAAGTTTAATGGTAAAACTAAGCTCCCGGCTGGCAAAAAATAAAGTGACTTAGATCGCTTCGTTTAATTTATTTATTGTGACTACCCCGCACAAAAAACTGACATATCGAAACTTGTATTTTCTTCCTAAATAATTAAAGGAAATGTATTGCAGTTGGCCATATGATTTTTAAACCGAATAAATTTTATGACGAAAACATTTTTTAAAAAAATAATTTGTTGATGTAAATGTTTTGGTTAAGTTCTATTGTGAAAATTATCAAAAGTTAACTTTAAAAATTTTAAGTGGCTATCTCAAGGTCTAATGTTTGTTTGGATTCCCGCTAGTAGCAATCGTCAAATACAGACGGGATTTTTATGGTACTTACAATGCTGAACCCAGCTCCCCAAAATTGCCGCGATGTGGCTAAAAATGAAAATCTGGAAAAGGTTAGTTAAATACTTCTCTGTAATATTCGGATAGTCTTTTTGTATGTATTTTATTTCTGAAAGCACTTACATGTGTATTAAAGTCTATTAAAGGAGCTTGGAATGCTACATTTTGATAATTTCTTGTATTCTTTAGGAGTTGCAAGTAGATAAAGTGGGGCCCAAGCCTGTTGAAATTCTGGATGGTGCTTTCAATGAAGCTACAGATGACGCTGAATATACTAATATGAAGGTAAATATGTTTAAATTTACTTATTATTTCTATTCAAATGTTACTTTAAAACTTTCTTTAAACATTTACTTTCTTTAAGCAGTTTAAAATGAAAAGCATATCTCATTGGCCCTACCATTGTCCAATTGCTTCTTGCAGACAAGTGTTAGGTGTAAATTGCATTCTTTCACATTGTCTGGTGGATCACACTAGTGATTTATGGATGAAGGGAGTTCAATGCAAAGAGATCTATAACAAGCAGCGTACTATTATAGAAATAGATGTCGGCAAAATTGAATTTAACAAAAGCATTTGTCTTGGTTGCATTATGTATGCGGGTTTGGCTGAGAATGATCGGAAAACTCTTCCTGGCATACGTGGCTTATGTGCGCAGAACGCTTTTCTTCCACCAATGTATATGCAATACAAAAATCACATGCCCATTTTAATAATGTGCTGCAGCACTTCGTGGAAAGAATGGATTTCTAGGCGTGAATTGAGAAATAAATTTGAAAACTCAAACCATAAGGGCAAAGAATTGTTGGTTTTCTGGTTAACTGGTCCTGAAACTGCTAAACCGGTTCATCTTATAATGACAGTTTACAGCAAGAACTTGCTGTACTCCAAAAGTGTGATTCTTTCTGTAAAACCACTGCGGGAACCTCAACATCCAAAAGCTTTCTTCGTCAAAGAAGCTAATTATTTAATGCTTACTGCTGGAGAAATTGAAAAGGTCACCGAACAGTACTCCGCAAGATTAAACCTTGATTTTATCATAAAAGAGTTTTAATATACCTGCAAATGTCTATACGTACGCCTAGTAATGTTATACATCTATTGTCTATTGAAAGCGTGTAAGTGCCAAATGTTACGTAATACAAAATTATATGTTATTAAATTTAAAGTTAGAGAACATATAATGAATAAATAATTAAAAATAGATGATTATATGTCAAACGGAAATCAAGTATCACTTTATTATATATTGTAAATTTTACGATATTTAGTTTCCGTAACGAAAATTATTCGTAACCACAGAAAATTTTAATTAATTTTTAATAATTTGCATATATTATTTTTCAAATTATTTTATTAAAATTTTTATTTGAGTTTCCCACTCCGATTACTTCGTATATAATTCGAAATTGAATAAAATTTTGATGTATAATATTTTGGTTCTCCCGCAGTTTTATAAAATCATTGATTTGCATTTTTAACTCATCGAGTCTGTAAAATATTATGTATCAAAACAAAGACTAGAAATGTCCGAAAAACTG